TCTGCGGCGGCGCTGAGTCTCCAAGGCGCAGGCAAACGTCGGCGAAGTGGCCTTCTCTCCAGCTGCCAATTATATTGAAGAAAAGGGAACCTGACCTGACGAGCATCTAGCATGACCAATCGCATCTCTCCTCTGCGCTGGGGGGGCGGGACGGTCGTCCCCGGGGTGGAGCGAGAGTACGAGGCTTTCAGGAAGAAGCGAGGCTGCGCCTGCGCTTTCTGACGCGCGTGCGCAGTGTTTCCCCTTTTTTCTTCCTTTCTAGAACTTGGGTGGGTGCGGTAACTGGGGTGTAGTGTTCCTGGGTGGCTTCGCAAGACACGGAACTTACGTTTGAATTAGCAGTGCGAGGCGAGAGAAAGGAGCTGGGGCTCTTCAGCCATCCCAGGGAGGCACTATCAAGTGGTATGGAGCCAGCTCCTAGAGCTGAATATGCATCACACGGCAAATGTGTGAGCTCCTACAAGTGCACTTACCTGCCGAACTTTGCCAAAAAAAGAAAATTATAGGCCCACTTGTGCAAATTAGAGAACGATAGGCAGACACAGTGAGAGGGAAAGTGAGAAATCACCTACCGGGTGTTTCCCCATTCTCTGGGTTTTGGGGGCAGGAGTGTATATTCCCCCATGTGTCTTAAGCCACTGGATCTGGGACTCAGAACTGCTGTCAGCCACATGAGAATCCAGGATTTTAACCACTATGCCACTGGCTGGCCCCAGCCCAGAGAAATTTTAACTTTTATGTAGTCTGTCATTTTGTTTAAAACCTTCTATAGCGAACGTGTATCCCCTTTTTTCTTTGTTCATTGTAGAACAGGTCCGCACACTAGTAAAAGTGAATGAAAAGGAGAGGAGCACCCACTGCGGGTTCTGATCACATTCAGGTCTCCAGTCTGCCAGATACAGGTGCCCACTTGTGTGTCCAACCTGTTCCAGGCTGAGCAGGTCAAGGATTTACTGGAGTTCCTGTATGAAATCCAGCTTTTCTTGAGCAACACATTACTGCAGCATCATGGAGCTGGCCCTGATTTCTTTTCTTTTTTTTTTTTTTTGCTATAGGGTTTGCGCTTGCGAGATAGACAGAAAGCAAGACTTCACCCCAAGAGGGTATGACCATGCTGAGACCAGCAGTTAGCGTAATGGCTATGTCACTGGACTCCCGTGTAGTCGACCACGGTTCGTGTTCCGGACCCAGTGGCTTAAAACTCACGCAGGGCGCGTGTCCACGCATGCCCAAGATCCCAAGAGGAGAATGGAGGAGAAGGGATTGCGGCCTGGCCATCCACCCCGAGGGGATGATTTCTCGCTTTCTGTCTCTCTGTCTCTGTCTCTGTCTGTCTGGTGAGCGCACGTGCCCTATAGCAAAAAACTCTCTCTCAAAAAAAAAAAAGAGGGTATGGCCATGCATGGCCATGCTGCAATCCCTTCTCCATTCTCCTCTTGGGATTTCGTGCATGCATGCACAGGTTCCCAGCCTGAGTTTTAAGCTACTAGATCTGGGACTCAAACCATGGTCAACTACATGGGAATCTAGCGACAAAACCATTATGCCATCTGTTGGCCCCCTGGCCCTGCTTTTTAAATACAAAATCTAATAAAATCAAGAACAAAAGAGTTATGGTTCAATGAAAGCATTTTTTTCTATAATAAATTCCAGGAAGATGATGACACCTTTCTCTAACTCAAAGCACGATAGTCCCGTAGCCTAAAGTATGTGAAATATTAAATAACCTAATAAGCCATAAGTTAAGGTGAATAGGTATTTGAGAATGGTTGATTTACAGATTCATTATTTAAAAAGCTTCTGTGTAGGTGTCATCTACCTCCAGGAACATGATACAGGGGCTTGTTTTTGATGGTTATCCTTTATTTTTAGGGGTTTTTGTTTTAGGGCTTGTGCCCTTGCTAGAGAGAAACAGAGAGTGTCAGGGAAAGTGAGAAATCACCCCCTGGGGGAATGACCATGCCGCAATCACTTCTCCATTCTTCTACAGGATCTTGGGCACGCAAATGCAAGCACACGCAGCTGGCATGATTTTCCAGCCACCGGGCCTGGAACTCGAACCATGTGGCAGCCTCCTTGTGGCAGTCTAGCAATGTAACTGCTATGCTATCTGTTAGTCCCTACACTCATCCTTCATTTATTTATTTGTTTGTTTATTTATTTATTTATTGAGGGGAAGAAGTTTTTGCTATAGGGTGTGTGCACTTGCCAGAAAGACAGACAGAGACAGAGAAACAGAAACCAAGAAATTACTCCCTGGGGGGATGGCCACGCTGCAATCCCTTCTCTTCCATTCTCCTCTTGGAATCTTGGGCACGAACGCACATGTGCCTGGAGTGAGTTTAAGCCACTGGATCCAGGACTTAAACCATAGTCAACAACATGGGAGTTCGGCAACATAGCCAGTATGCCAACTGCTGGTCCCGCATCCTTTTTTTTAAAGAGAGAGAGAAAGCAACCCCTAAATCACCAGGGCCAGGATTCAAGCATGTGGTCAGCTTCCCAGCTCCATGATGCCAGCCCTGGGTCCAGGATTTTTTTTTTAAGAGAAACATTTTGCTTTAGGGCACGTGTGTTTGCCAGAGAGACAGAAAGTGAGAAGTCATTCCGGAGGGGGGGGGGCTGGTCACACCACAATCCCTTCTCCATTCTCTTCTTGGGATTTTGAGCACCACAATCCCTTCTCCATTCTCTTCTTGGGATTTTGAGCACACCGGGTCTGGGATTCGAACCGTGCATGACTACATGGGAGTCCAGAAATGTAATTATTATGCCATCTGCTCATCTCTGGGTCCAGGATTATTTTGGGAGAGGTTTTTGCTATAGGGCATGCGTGCTCACCAGAAAGACAGAGAGAGACAGAGAGACAGAAAGCGAGAACCACCACCACCCCCCACCACCCCCTGGGAGATGGCCATGCCATAATCCCTTCTCCATTCTCCTCTTGGGGTCTTGGGCATGCATGCACACGCGCCCAGCATGAGTTTAAGCCACCAGGTCTGGGACTCCAACCTTGGTTGGCTACATGGGAGTCCAGCAACATAGCCATTACACCAACTGCTGATCCCCCAGGATTTGAACTGGGGTTGGCCACATGGGATCCTATTCCCAATGTGCAGCACTTAACCACTGAGCCAAGGACTTGGGCTTCCTTTTTTTTTTTTTTTTTTTTTAATCTTCCTGATTCTATCATTCATTGAAGACCTCTTGACTTTTCTGTAGAAATGTGTTTCTGGTATGTATTCCTTTCTCTCTGACTAGTACTATGTACTATATATGGATATGTATATGTGCACATCTCTAGGGATTATAATAGATTTCAACCCATTTAGCACCCTGCCATTTCTCTAATCTTAAGATAACTTCACAGACACCTTCTACCTTCTAAACTCTCCAAAATCCTTCATAATTATATCTGATCTACACCTGCCTAATCAACATAGTCTCCTATGATGATCTCTATAACTTTCTTTACAATAATTATTTATTTAATTACATTTATTATTATTATTTTTTAATTTGACCTGAGAGACGAGATGCCATTTCTCTAATCTTAAGATAACTTCACAGACACCTTCTACCTTCTAAACTCTCCAAAATCCTTCATAATTATATCTGATCTACACCTGCCTAATCAACATAGTCTCCTATGATGATCTCTATAACTTTCTTTACAATAATTATTTATTTAATTACATTTATTATTATTATTTTTTAATTTGACCTGAGAGACGAGAGGAAAGTGAGAAAACAAGTCGCCAGGTCTGGGACTTGAACTGCAGTGGGAATCCAGTGCCCTTAACCACCATGCCACCTGCCAGCCCCCATGATCTCTACAACTTTTTTTATTTTTTGGAGAGGTTTTTCACTATAGGGCGCGTGCGCTCGCCAGACAGAGAGAGACATAGAGACAGAAAGCGAGAAATCACCCCCCAGGGGGGATGGTCACGCCGCAGTCCCTTCTCCTCCATTCTCCTCTCGGGATCTTGGGCACACATGCACACGCACCCGGTGTGAGTTTTAAGCCACCGGGTCCAGGACATGAACCGCAGTCGACTACGTGGGAGTCCAGTGACATAGCCATTACGCTAACTGCTGGTTCCCTCTATAACTTAAAAAAAAATGTTTAGGTAATAAAAATTCCAACATTGGGGACAAGCAGGTAGCATGACGGTTCAGGCATCGAACTCCCACATGACCAACTGCAGTTGAGTCCTGGACCTGGTGGCTTGTTTTCTCACATTCCCTCTCTCTCTCCGTCTCTCTCTGGTAACCCCATGTGCCCTGTAGCAAAATTTAAAAATAATAAATAAACAATTTTTTTAAATAAAAATTCCAACATTAAAGTAGAAATAAATCCCCCCTCCCCGACTCCCTGACTTACTTCTCCTGAGTCATTGGTATCACCAGTCTGTTTTGCAGTATTCTCCCTTATCCTGTTTAGACAGGTCTGGGAAATGAACCCAGGCCTCCCATGTGGCCTCAGCCACTGCAGCATTGGCCTCATCTCATAAAGAAAACATAAATGTTAACTTGAATTAGTGGTAAATGTGGCAAATCTGGTTAAAGGATGTGCAGAATTTCCTTATATTCTTCTGATATTGTGATTTATAATAAGATAGGTAGGTTTGGTTTTGTCTTTGTTTCCTGGCATACAACCCAAAGCCCTTCAAAGTGCTGTCTTTTATACCCTGGTGAGTTGAACTGTGCTGGATAGCCTCAGGATGGGGGCTGATCACCAGGGGAGCTGCATGATTACTGGGTTGGAACTTTCTGCACCACCACCACCCCCAGTGTCTGGGGAGGGGAGATGGGCTGGGGGGGTTAATTGATCACCAATGGTCAGTGATCAATCGGTAATCAATTGTGCCTGTATAATGAAGCCTCTATAAGAACACGAAAAGACTGGGTTCTGGGAGCTTCTGGATAACTG